ATTACTTAGTGAAGCCATATTAAGTGTCAACCTAATTAATTGTTGCAAGTTATAAATAAAACTTTACATAATTATATTGAGCATAAATGCATTAAGTATTAAAAAAAGTAGAAAAATACTAAAAGATACATAATTAATTAAGAGACATAATATAATAAAGTTAAAAATGAAATGTTCCAATTTCAAAATTTAAAATAGAGTATTACAATAGATTTGGATACAAATATCATGTAAAGGACAATGATAATAATCAGTAACCTCATTAAATGTATCCAGAATTGACTTGCATGTGGAATATAAATAAAGTAAAAACTAGTTTGTATGTGATTGAGATTTTTACAAATCAGTTGAGAGAAATAATTTACATACACATTTATTAGTTTAAATGGAAATGACAATTTTCGTTGGGGCAGTTGCTAAAATAAAGTTAGCACAATTTAACAAGATGAGGGAGTAATTGTTTTTTATAAGTAGTTGCAACATAAAATACAAAAATTCATTCATTTAGTTCTACTATAACTATTCATTAGTAAATAAGTAACTATTTTAAAAATCCGTTGAAATCACAATTTTAATAATGTTTCCCAATCTTGAAATGGTTTCTAGCATTTCCAATTTTGTTTACGAGTCAAATTGGTTCAATGATATTGAATTATACAATTTTACGATTCAACTTGCGATTTTAAGAACATCGATGTGTAGTTCTTATAGAACATATAGTGATTTTAACAATCTTGATCTGTAGCTTTTATAAAACATATATTGAGATGAATGAAGAGATATTATGGAGTATAAAATAAATATTTTCACTTTTTGATGGAATATATTTAGAAACATTAAAACACAACAAAAAGTAATGTGATGTGTTGAATAATCATCATAATTATAACTAAATAATAAGTAGTACTACGTATGAGATTGTAATATGATAACAATTGTTATCATCTTCATTAGACAAGGTTAGGGATGAAAGAATACTTATTTGGTAGTTTTATACTAGTTGGTGTAATACGATAACAATTGTTATCATACATGTATTCTAATATAATTCTATATCATGTTTTTATTTTATACAATAAGTAAGTATATACACATTACTCATGAAATAAATTATTTGTAAAAATTAATTTATTTCATTTGTTCTCCGTGTAACGCACGGGTGGATTGACTAGTATATACATAAAAATTAGAATTAGGATGGAAGGACTGATAATATATACTCATGTTTATGTCAACACCAATAGGAATGTTGCTTTTCACAAAGCTTTCTTCTCTTTCTTGCACAGTAAGTAGTTTCTAATAAATATCATTATTACGTCCACAGTGTAAGGTCAGTCATATATGCAGGTGGAATTGGGTAATTAATGATATTAAAAAAAATGATAGAGCCAATTGTCTTTAGGAATAAGTTGATGAGTAAATAAGTTAGGAATGTATTGTGGAAGTACATTTACAGAAATATTATACCTCTGTTAAATTTCAATTCCTTAAGTAAATTCATAATTGAAATTACTTTTCATTGTCTTCATAAAGTTGAGAAAAACATCCCCATAGACAAAGGAAGCAAGGGAATGACTTCGATCTCAAAATTTTCTATGCAAAAAACTCAAAGCATGAAGAAAGTATATAAGTGTTGTGACTGAGTTAAAATATACTTTGTGCACTCATTATATAAGCCATATAGTTTAGTTAACAAATGTGTTTCATACGGATTATAAAAAATAAATCAAAATAAAAAAGGTCATATGAAATCAAAATCAATTATAGTCTACCTTTTAGCCAAAAAGAGCAAAAAAATGTGTGGTTTGGTCTATTTAAAAATAGCAACACTTGTGAGTGAACCATGTTTTATAAACACTTTGTGAATAAGTCTCATGATGCTCCAAATTTAAAAAAATCAGCAACAACACCTAAACAAAGAAATGTTTGATTAGCGCTTGTTTAGCAGTTTCTAAAATAAGCAGCATCTCAAAATGTTGAAATTCCAAGGGATGTGATTTTGGTTATTTCTAAGTATTATTTTAGAAGTAGTTATGATGTGTGTAACAAGTGGTTGGCAAAATAAAAGAGGAAAAGTTGGTTAGTGTTTTAGAAAATCAGTAATATGTAGAATGACAAATATAAATGAAACATATATAAAACCTTTAGGACCAGATCAAGCCCAGAGATTGAGGTTGTTGCGTTGCACAAGCGGTGTTATTTAATTCAACTCCCTTATACTATTGTATCTACTTATTTCAAAATGTTGAAATATATTTTAGAGGTTTACTGGGTTTATATTGTAAAATGAAAGTTACTAAAATGAGTTTTTTTGTTATTTTCAGGGGCCTTAGTCAATGAATTTTCTGTGAAAAAAATCTCCTGAAAATTGCCATTACAACTAACACAACATTTTACTCCAACAGATTTTTTCTAAAAGCTCTCACTTAAGTTTTACCTGCAGGCCTATGTTGATCGGGAATATTTTTAAACCACATATGAAAATTAACATGCACATCCAGCATATGTGCTATGTAAAACTCTTCAATTAACAAAAGTTGCTAAATAACCCAACTAAATTCTTAAATAAGATGTAATTATAATACCTTCAACAACTACTCAATGTTAATTAATACGGAGTATAAGTAAGGTAATCTTTGTTAGAGGGCCATGTAAATTTTCTGTCTACACACATCTAAGTCCAAATTGTAAGTCAATTAATGATAATGGCACTATCAACCTAATGTGTTGAGTGAAACAACTAAAGAATAGAAACAAGTAGTAGTGATATAGTTTGTAAAGAAAGTTGAGAATGATAATTATTATGGGCTAGGATTTGTACTCTAAATCAAACAGCTGTTACGTTGTAATTATAAATTTCATATGTAATAACTGATATCCCAATTTTGAAATTAGGATGTTGTTTATGTTTGTTGGCGGAGGAATTAGTTGTGCAGTGATTTAGTGTTTTAGTCAATCAGTATTTACATGTGTTATTAATATTCCCTACACTTTTTTTTGTGTGATATGGGAAAATAGTTGTTCAAATATGTGAAATGTAATGGTGAGCAATCACCTTTTAGGCATTTTGACGATATAACTAACTTCTTTTCAGTGTACCAATTGTTTAGAGACCTGGGAAAAGGTCTTAAACTCTACACGATCAATTATATAACTGGTGGGATTTGTGTATTTCAAAATATATTAAGGAGTATTTGCAGTCGTATATTATAAGGACTTTGAAGTGAGTAGGAACACAAAACTAATTGCAAGGTAAGATGTGCCTTGTTTGAAGAGAGCAGTAAGACCAAAGAAGATCGATGAGAAGAGTAGCAATGAAGAGAATAGAGTAAATGATCAGTGGCATACTGTCATGGACACATGGCAACGATATGTGAAATTATACATTTAAGGGCTAAGGCTGGAAGCCACTGGTGGTGAATGTTTGTGAAGTAACCGCTTGAATGTGATTCGGTGTGATGGTAACTGGTATAGGGAAGGGGCTGTTTAGGGATGACCCGGGCCGGTTCCGGTTCAGGCCTGGGCCCAACTGGGCTTTTGTTTGGGAAGTAGGGAACCGGAACCGGCCCGGGTAGCCGGAAGTTCCGGGCCAGTTTCCGGATTAATTTTTTCTTAATTTCTTTTGATTTTCTAAATAACCCCCGACCCCCCGACCCACACCCCCCACCCCCAAACCCCCCAAAAACACCCAGCCCAACCCAGTAGAAAGTAAAAAAAAAAAAGTTGAAAAAAAATTATTAATTTGGCCCAAACCGGGCCCGAACCGGCCGGGCCGGTTCGCCATTTAGGGGGCCCGAGCCCGCATCGGGATTAGACCAGTTCCGGGTGGCCCGAACCGTCCCCAAGACCGGGTACCGAGCCCGACCGGGCCCAAACAGTACCGGGCCGGGCGGCCCGACCCGAGTCCACCCCTAGGGCTAGTGGTGGACTCAAGCCGAGTGGCCCGACCCAGAACGGGCCTGGGACCGGTACTGTTTCGGCCTGGCCCGAACAGGTGGCCCGACCAGTGACCGGTCCGGGTAGGCCCAACCCAAGGGGTTTCCAGTCCGGGCTCAAGTTACCTAAAACATGAACCGGCCCGACCGGTCCAGGCCCGGCCTTATCAATTTTTTTTCCTTTTTTTTACTTTTTTTTAAATCCTCATTTTGGGCTGAGTATTTTGGGCCATTTGGGGTGGTTTTGGGGGTTGGGGCCTGGGGGTTAGGGGGGTCAGGGGTAATTAGAAAAAGAAAAAAAAAAAACATAAAAATTTTAGAGGCCCAAGGCCTGGCCCGGATCGATGGCTACCGGGCCCGGCCCAGACCTAACCCGGTGGCTACCAAGGCCAGTCCCGGGCCCAACATATCCTAACCGGCGGCCCGGTTGGGCCTAGGCCCGGCCCGAGTCCACCACTACCTAGGGGCTAAGGCTGTTTAACGGAGTAGAAAGAAGTAGGGCTGGACTCGGTTCGGGCCGGGCCCAGTTCGGGCCTTGAACCGGCCGGGCCTCGGTTCACCAAAAGGAGGGCCCGGGCCCGAACCAGCAAGTGACCGGTTCCGGGCCGATTCCGGGCCAGACCGGGCCGGTTCCGGGCCGATCACCCGCCCCATTTTTTTTTTTTTTTTGATTTTTTGGCTTCTCTTATTTAACCCCCTACCCCTCCCCCTCAACCCCAAACCACCTCAAATGGCCCAAAATACCTAATCCAACCCAAAAATTAAAAAAAATTCAAAAAAAAAATTAAAAAAAAAATTATTTCAGCCCGGAACGGGCCCGAACCGGCCAGGCCGGTTCACCAAATAGAGGGCCCGGGCCCGGAACCGGTATCCACCGGGCCGGTTCGACCCGAAACGCCGGTGGACCGGGCCACCGGGCCGGGCCGGTTCACACAGTAACCGGGCCGGGCCGGTTCACACAGTAACCGGGCCGGGCCGGTTCCGGTTCGGGCCGCCCGGCCCGAGTCCAGCACTAGAAAGAAGTACAGAGTAGTCATTAAAATTAGACGGATTAGACGGAGCTTACGGAAAAAGAACCATACTAACAGAAGTTGGCGTTTATGATATAAGGAGAGATACGTTGAAATTTAACCAAATTTATGAGGGCATAAATGCATAATGCGTAAAGCTGGCTTGAAATATCCCAATACATAAGGTAGGACAGAATACAATAGATAAAGTATTACTAATGTCTCAAGTCACAACAAAGCAAAATGCTAGATGCTGTAGAAAACGAGTCTTCAAAAACAGCAGTACAAGACTGATTTACAGTTCTTAGTACCTCATAATAACTTTCAGAAATTCTCATTTCTCCTTCGAAGAAGTTAACTAAAAAATACAAAGAACATAAATTAAAAGATACGAATAGGCCTTCCCATTGTGGTCTTCAGATACAGGCACCTTACCTGTTCCATAGAAATCAAACGTAAATTAATTTCAAGAAAGCGGGTAACTGTGAACAAATAAAGAGAAAACGACTAAGAGCAAACTAGCTTTAGAAAAGGATGGAGTGAATCAGTGAATGTGTGAAGACTACGGTGTAATCAGTCAATGCTTTTGTGTTCTATTTGGAGTCTCACTTGTCTTTGGGACATAAATAAAAAATAGCAGGAAGAGTGGAAAGTAAAATTATAAGGTTGATATTGAAATTGTAAAATACAAATGAACTTGAACCTCACAAATATTACCATATTTGTGTGGTAAAAGTTATTTTGACATACATATTAAATATTTTCATAACAAAAAAAGAATACACACACACACATTATACACACATGTTTCATCATCTAGAAAAGAAAAAAAAAAAACTTAAAGAAATAACATGTTAAGGGGTTAAGAAGCAAACCCTGAAGTGAACTTACATTTTGCCAGTTCTTTTTCAGCAATGATACCAAAAAATTCACACTCATTTGAACATTCTGGAAAATCTGCTTATCTTCCATTGCCACATTACCAACAGCAACACCCATACAAAGGACCTTTTTAAGCTGGAATTTCACAGTAGCCTTTGTTTCGTTAACTTTGTTCTCCAATGACTCCGAATGTGTCACCAAGGTAGGAAACTTGCCTGATATCAATAGGAAGACCATAGCTTCAGGTAAGGAAATAAGATCATTATTAAGCCATCTTTAGTTCAACGTGACTAATAAAGCACTTTCCCCTCTCATTATTTAGCCATCTTTAATGTGACTCATATAAACACTTTTCCTTCTAAAAACTTGAAAGCTTATACTCTACAGGTAGCTTAAAAATGTGACTACTTCAAAATCCACTTTGGATGCTTTTTCTAGGCATTCATTAGAAAAATAAAATTAAATCAGTATACATGCCTGCCTTGTTTAGACCAGGGCCCAATAGACGAGGGATTTGTTTGATAACAGCTTCAGATGCCAAAAAAGCATGGTACTTCTTAGCAAGTTTCTTCACAAGTTTCTTGTTTTTGTTGAGTTTCTTTAAACTCTCCACATCCATATACTCCATGCCAATTTTCTCAGCCTGCAGATCAGAAGCAACAAAACAGTTAATAATATTGAGTAATAATTACCGTTGTGGGGTTGGGAAGCACAGAAATGAAGGAAAATGGAGTTGTGTGATTGAAAATGAACTTGTTAAGTATGAATGAATTTGATCCAAGTGAATATGATCAAATACTGTATGTACCACACATTTCGGAAGAGCCGAAGTTGAAATTGAGATATGCACAAGGGCCAGGAATATAATGACAAATCAACACAAAAAGAACTTCTTACTACTGAATATTTTGCAGTTTACACTTAACACACTGATGAGTGATGACATAACAAATCAACGCAAATAATTGAACTAAACTTTTTATGCATTCATGGAAAATACCTCTTCCACATGCTGGGCATCTCCAAGCATGCATACTTTCATCTTAGGGCGTGGCACATGAGGCAATTTCACAGAACCACTGAAACGCTTGTCCTTTTGAGGGTCATAGTTCTTCAGCCCAATTTGAAGTTCAATGGTCTCGGTGAACTTGCGATTCTTCTCCTTTGAATCGCCCATTAGTTGGGATATCGCTTCTCTCACGGCATCACTTTGCAACTTACTGCCATTCAAAATAAAAACAAATCATAATAGCACTACAACATTTGAACTTACACATTGTCTGTTTAAAAGCACCAATCTAAACAAATAAGGTAAGAAGTCAATTTTGTGCCACAGAGAAGAAGGCTTAACTTAAGAGCAATAACACTAAGTGTTAACAAAAAATTAAACCAGTTTGCTCTACAAAGTGTCTGTCACAATAATTAGGTTAACGCATTGACATGGGACGAAAAGGATGGAAACCATAACAAATTAAAATTGATACTGATGGTGCTGGAATGTGAGCCATGTCATACACTCATATAGGCATAATTTGAAACATTAATTTTAGCTACTGACCTCATGGCAAAAGAATGCCTTGCCCCTTCAAAATATCTGCATTATCCAGAGAAAAGAAGACTTAGCGATTCATTATCATAACAGAATAATTGTTTAATCAATCTTATCTCTCTCTATATATAAGCTGGACTGCCTGGATAACTGTTACCGCCTCACAGTTAGTCTGCGGAATTTTGGCTCTACTCATTACTAAGGCAACACTGCCGGCGTATTGGTTTGTTATTAAAATTATAACTCATTACAACTCGTTAATTAAAAAATTATTCATCGTTTAACTGAAATAACAGATAAAGAAGGAACCTCAACAACACACTCCAAGCTTGATCAATTCACTCCTGATAATATATAAGAAGATATGGAAGACAGTTAGTGATAATCGACAAACCTCTGGATATTAGACGAACGGCGTGGTGTAGGATGTGTCCGACCGGCCTAAGGTGAAGAGGAGCTGTAAGCTGAGAGACGAGCCGTAGAGAGAAATGGTAGATCGAGTTACTAGGGTTAGGTTATTCCAAATCTGATTTTCTAAATGGGCCGGATCAAACACGTTGGGCCAATAAGTTTAAATTGTGGAGTATTCAGCTTAGCAGGTTTTAAATTGTACTCTCTCCTCCTCTTAAAATTTTATATTAACTAGTATGGTACCCGCGCGATGCACGGTGGATGATCATTTCAAAATAAGTGTACATTAATGTTGTTATGAAAAGTAAAAGACAATAAGAAGTTGTTAAATAACATGAGGTGAGTTAAGGAACGAATATGAAAGTTCAACAATACAAAATGAATTAAAGTTGACAAAATTGATATAGTGAGCATCAAGTTTTGCGGAGTACAATTAAGAATGCATACAAAACGCTTATTTATGGATCACGTTAGCGTCCGCTTCTACGTGGTCTCTCATCTTCATATTGAATTATGATCAATACGTGCGATTTATAACCCTAAGACAGCAATGAATAAGTGTATAGCGCATCAATGGTATTTTATAAAAGTTGAAGCAATTGCATTTGAAATCTTAAAAGGAAGATTGATGTGACTTAATGTGTTCTTTCATATTAAAAACTTTTTGTCGTTTCAAACTCCATAAATGTATTTACTTTTTTCTCCTTCATATTAAAAAATGTAAGATGCAAATCAAACTTAAATGTTAAGACATATACTAATTATAGTTAAAAAAGTACTCCGTATATAATCACTCCCATAAAAGTATAATGTCATTTAGTAAATATAATCTTATAGATTTAAACATGCATCTCCCGAGCAGCGCCTAAGCCCTGCAACGCCGCCGAGCAGCGCCTAAGGTGCTGTTCTGTTCGTCTTATTCTTATTACTTATTGCTTATTCTTATTTTATTCAGATCAGATCAGATCAGATCAGATCAGAAAAATTCAGATCAGATCAGATCAGATCAGAAAGATTCAGATCAGATCAGATCAGATCAGAAAGATTCAGATCAGATCAGATCAGATCAGAAAGATTCAGATCAGATCAGAAAGATTCAGATCAGATCAGACCAGATCAGAAACATTCAGATCAGATCAGAAACATTCAGATCAGATCAGATCAGAAAAGTTCAAACATGATTTATCACTTTTATTATTATATTAATTATTATTATTAATATTGTTATTACTATTATGATTATTATTATTATTATATAATTATTATTAATATATTAATAATAATATGATAAAGAAATAAGATATTAATAATAGTTATAATATTTTAATATAATAATAGTAATATAAATGCAATTATTAAGAAGACTATTATTATTATTATTATTATTATTACAATATAATAATAATAATATGATTATTATTATAATATTATATTATAATTATATGTAATTATAATTATAATTACAATTATAATTCTTATAATTATAAGTATAATCAATTGTAATTATTATAATTATATCTATAATTAATTATAATTATAATAATTATAATTATAATTACAATCATAATTATAATTATAATATAATATTATAATAATATAATACTAATAATAATAATAATCGTATTATTATTAATATATTGTAATAATAATATTAATATAATAATATCGTTATGATAATATTAATTGTATTTATAGTACTATTATTAAATTATAATATTATAATTAATGTTAATATAATTATAATTATTATTAATTATAATTATAATAATAATGATTATATTATTATATTATAATATTGTAATTAATTTTAATATAATTATAATTATTATTAATTAGAATTATAATAATTATAATTATACTTATAATTATATTATAATTATAATTTATTATTATTATTATTATTATTATTATTATTATTATTATTATTATTACTATTGTAATTATTTTACGGAGTAATTAAAATAATATTGATAACTATAGTTACAATTATAGAGATAAATATTGTAATTATAATTACAATTATAATTATATAAGTAATTATAATTAAAAATATAATTACAGTTATAATTATATCTATATTTATAATTAGTGTAATAGGTATAAATTTTTTCATTTTAAATTTAATTTTAATTTTTATTATTATTATTATTATAGTTACGATTATAATTATAATTTTATTTAAATTATATTTGTAATTGCAATTATAATCATTATAATTATAATTATAATCATAATTATAATCATAGAAACATTCAAATCAGATCAGATCAGAAAGATTCAGATCAGATCAGAAGGATTCAGATCAGATCAGAAACATTCAGATCAGATCAGACCAGATCAGAAACATTCAGATCAGATCAGAAAGATTCAGATCAGATCAGATCAGATCAGAAAGATTCAGATCAGATCAGATCAGATCAGAAAGATTCAGATCAGATCAGATCAGATCAGAAAAATTCAGATCAGATCAGATCAGAACTTAAAAAATTCAGATCAGAAACATTCAGATCAGGCGAAGAGAACAGCTTCTAAGCCCTCCAACGCCGCCGAGCAGCGCCTAAGCCCTCCAACGCCGCCGAGCAGCGCTTAACAACACCACGACCTAGCAGCGCCGAACAACGCCAGCGCCTAGCAATGTCGCTGCCTCTGACATTTGTTCTCCTCTCACTTCAAGGTAAGCTATTTATTTTTATGTATATTTGTAGTATTTCTCTGGTATATTTGTGGTTTTGCAAAGTACGAGAAAGCTCAATAGATTGTATAACAGTATAAGCTGAACTGAAAGAAGTGCCTATATAAGCTGAACTATCCTGAGATGCTGCGGCTTTGAGGTAATGTGCATTACTGTTGTGCCTAAATCTGAAGAGTGTTCAAGAATGTCGAACAACAATTCAGCTATCAAGTTATTATCTGTGTTTCTTACACTGATTTTATGTTTTATTTTCCACTCAATTTAAAATAAGATTATAGGGACAGTTATAATGGAGTAGGAAGAAGGGAGGAATCTTGCCAAAAAACTACTCTCAACAAAGGAATCAACTTTCATGGTTGCAGAGAGACTAACTGAGCTTGCTGTTGCTATAGGCTTTGATGGCTGGCTGGTATGCTTTGGAGTTTGGGTGCAAATTGAAACATGTTCTTACCATTCATTTATTTTTCATTCACTCTACTTTTTAATTCAAGTTACGTGGTATCCAGAGGTATCCTATTTTCCTTGGATCAGTGGAACTCAAAATGTAGCCCAGCAAAGTTTCTGATTCCAAGAAGCTACTATGCTCTTATGCTTTCTTGATTAGATTTTAGTTTCTTTTTATTATCTTTTTGATATATCCATTAATATACGGCCACCATCACTTTGGTTTAGTAGGTTCTCTTTTTACATTTTTAGATAGAATTCAAAAGTATTGAGTATGAAATGAATTTAATATTAATAAATAATTAAATTAATACAGTATTCTTGTCAGATGTTATGCGTTTAAATTCTTTATTACTTATTTCTTATCGTGTTCTTGCTGCATTTCTAATTTTTTCAACTTATATGCTTGCTATATTACTTTCGTGTTCTTGATATGATCCCAATTTTAGAAAATGCTTTGAGCTTTCTTAATCTTATTTTTTATTGATTATTTTGCTGCTGGAATTTCATCTGCAGATTAGAGATTATTTATGACAGTTTGACAAGTGTTGTTGTACTAAATAGTTGTACTTTAACAAGTTCTTCATTTTGAATAATTATTTTACTCAGCTTGTTGAACAAGATGCAGGAGGGCAATGTAATGCAGAGTGCAAAACTATTGAACATGCATGTGAAGAGGTAACATGCTTTCTCTTAGCTTATAGTTTTATACATTTATAATGTTTTGTCCTAGTGGATTTCTGGTCATCCTAGTAGGTATGGGCCTTTCCTTTTTGTGTTAAAAGTTTGTGATGAATATGTTGGAACAAACAAGTTAATCAAAGTACATAAGTGGACTACACCATACACCTTAGGACTGTCTTATTTTCATCCTTCATCCTTTAGGCAACTATAATAAAAATATTCTTTTTACAAATTCTTAAATGCGGGTATCAGTATCAATAATCAAATGAAACATGCTGCAAATCATTTACATTTTAGCTGGATTAATTACACGACTTTTTGGCTTTTTTGGTAGCTACTATTTCAAATACTGGCCTGATCAGTTAGACTTTTTACGGATTATTAGTACTAATTTATTTCTCACTACATCCCAAGGAGATAGTGACAACCCTATGTATTTCGCTAATCATGTTGATGAGTTATCATCGTGATGCAGGTATAGAGAAGGAAATTTCTGCTTTGCAATTGGAAGTGATTTATTGATGTTATTCATACTTATTATGAATATATGTGTGATCATAAACTGAAGATTATTATGCGGTTTTACCTGATTGTAGCTCTGAATAAGTTGTTTATTGTTTTAAATCATAAGTAGATGTGTTAAACTTAGAACTTAAGAATATAATTCGGTTACGGTTGAGACAAAAAGAAGCTCTTTACTGAGATAAAGAGGATTGCTAAATCTGGGAATGAGGTCTGTGGCTTTGATTCCCTAATGAGTACACTGTAGTGGACTTCGGGATGGTGGTGGATACATTAACTAATTAGACAACTAATTCCTAGAATGCAGGTTGCCACAATATAATTTAAGTACATTATACTCTGTGTGTTATTCATTTAAGTAAAATTTATAGTTTAGAATAGTTAGTTTTTTAAATGTGTGTGCATCTATCACATCGATTCTAAGACAGACATTTCCTGCATTTTCACTAATTCCAGGTTCGGTCATCTCGGGGTATGAATTGCCCATAGTCCAAATTGGAGCAGTAACGAACTAAGTTGCTCGGTGGATGCCGATGAGTATGATTATTTGGCATAAGATGGTGACGTTTTTCGGAGGAATCTCAGGCTTGCAGAGACGACTACTATGTTTGATGTTGTTTTTGAGTTAGCTTGATGTGTTTTTGGACTACCCATAGTTGTATCATTCCTAAGATGAGTTAGTATGTCCTATTGTTTGTCGGTGATGTATAACACTTAATTCTATTTGGAATTATGGTTTAGATTTGAGTTGGGCAATACTTTTGTTGTAAAATGAATGTTTATTATTTTGTAAATAAGATA